GTGGCAGCAGAGCTGTGGTGCTCAGCGGTGCTCGGGGTGCTCAGCAGAGCTGTGGTGGCAGCAGAGCTGTGGTGCTCAGCAGAGCTGTGGTGGCAGCAGAGCTGTGGTGCTCAGCGGTGTTAGCGAGGCGGCAGCGAGGAGCGGTGAGTGGCAGAGGCGGGTGCGACATCCCTGGCACATCCCTGGCACATCCCTGGCACATCCCTCCTCCTGGGACCTGTGGGCTGCCGCCATCCTGGTGCTGCTGGTACCACCTTACCTCCGTGGCTGCTGTGGCCCCGGGGCTGGGCCTAGCCAGGCCCTGGGGGCACTGGCAATGCCGGGTCCGTCTGTCCAGCTGGTGAGCGGAGCCGGCTGAGGGGACCGGGATGGGAGCCAGACTCGTGCTCACAGAGGCGCAACCCCCACTGAGGGTGCTGGCGCTGGGGCAGCCTTTCCACCCCCGTGGGACGGGCAATCCTTGGCATCTCTTCGTTAGCTCCCAGCCAGTCCCTGCTGGCACCAGGGTCACCTCAGCCCCATGTGCGGTGCTTTGCTCTGAGGATCCCAAGATGGGCTCTGCCCAGTGCTGGTGCCACGGTCTGGTCTCCAGCCATTGCCCCAAACCAGAGCAAACTCCTCCAGCAGCAGAGCCGGCTGCAGCCCCCCCAGCTCAGGCAGCCCAGTGCCCCTGCAGCTCCCCGAGGCACCGGCCCCGGGTCAGCCATGCCGGCAGCCGACACTTCGCTCCCTCGCCCCTGCGCAGAGAAGCTGCAAACAGCAGGAAGGATGAAACTGGAGCAGAGACATGGAACTCGTGTGAGGGGGGGCCCTGAGCCATGAACCAGCTGTGGGGTGGAAGCAAAACCAAACCCTGTGATTGCAATGACGGATGTTCTCTGCCCTGGGCTTGGAAAGGCATCGAGCGGCGCGGCGGGGAGCGGCTGCGGCGGCAGCGAGCCGAGGACGGCGAGGAGGGGAGGGGGAAGCAGCCAGGAAGGAGCGCTCCTCCCAGGGCAGGGGGCACCTACCCGCCTTCATCAGGTCGGTGCCTTCCACCGCCTTCATGGGGCTGCTGGAGACCTTCTTCTCGGCTGGAGATGGAGAGGAGAGACGAGTGCCTGAGCCACAATGATCGCCTGGCTGTCCATGTGCCCATGGGACAGGGCCCAGGGATGGTGGCGTGTCCCCTGCAGATGGTCCCTGGGACGGGCTCCCCCGCCACAGGGAACCACCGCCTGGGAGGGGACAGGGACAGGGGACATGGAGATAGGGCTTCCGCTGGCTCTCTCTACCCATCTGGCCCTGGCATCGGGGCAGCGTGAGGGGATGGTGGGCATCAAACCGTGCCTGAGGGGGATCAAGGATCACCTACCCTTAACCGTGCCCAGGGGACTCTGCAAAACAGAAGGGAGAGGTTATAGGAGCTGCTGGGACCCTCCATGCACCCACTGCACCCACACTCACCACCCACACACCCATCCCCACCAGGGCCAGGGACCCTGACCCCACTGCCGGCAGCCCCTGCGGCCGTGCCCACCTTCTGTGCGTTCGGGACGGCTTCGGCCTTCTCCTCCTTGGCTGGGGCTGCTGCCTCTGCCAGGTTCTCCTTGGTAGAAGCCACTGAGCTGCTGTTCTCCAGCATCTCCAGCTCCTTCTCCAGCCTGCGGGGAGAGCTGGGGCTGAGAGGCCGTGGGGAGCCTTGATGCAGGCAGCATGGGGCAGGCAGTGTGGGGGAGGCAGTGTGGGGCAGGTAACTTTGGGCAGGCAGCCACAGCAGAGGTGTGAACATGGGCCAGCAACATGGTGCAGGGGAGAGGGGAGGCACAAATTGTCCCCCTGGGCTCAGGACATGCAGGGACATATTCTAGCACAGCCGTCACTGTCTCTTTGCAGGGAAAGAGCCAACGGGCTCAGCCCAAGTGAATGGCAGAGACCCTGCCGGGGGCACCGGGCAGGGGGACCGAGCCCCACGCACTTGCCGGTGCCCTCACTCGGTGGCCGGAGCGCGGCTGCTCCATCATCCCTCTGCTCCCGCACATGTCGCCGGGAGCCTGGCTGAGCTTTCTGCGAGGGCGACTCTCTGTTCCCGGCCAGCAGCCCGGCCAGGAGCTGTGCCGGCAGCAGGGCCCCGCCGGGACTTGGCGGAGGTCCGGGGAGTCCCCCTGGACTGGCGCGGTGGCAGAGCCCCCCCGGCAGAGCCCCCCCGGCTCCCGCACGGCGCCGGCAGAGGAATGCGCTGCACCATTAGCCGGACACAAAGGCCCCTTCGTGCCTGACCCCTCTCTGCACCGATGCTCCGTAATTAACGGCACCGCCGTGACTGATTGCATTCCTGCTGCGCTGCCGGGACACCTCCGTGCTGGGGCTCTGGGGCCCCGCCTTCGGCTGCCCAGCAACGAGGGGACTGGGCAGGGGCTGAGGCGTCTCCCTCACAACCTCCCCGCTGCCCCTTCCCCAGGGCTGAGTCACGTCTGTGAGGACCCAGCCCGCTCGGGGATCTCTGGAGGGACGCGGGTGCTCTCCGAGTTCATCCCGACACCTGGCCCCACGCAGGCCCCGTTACCTCTGGATGGTTTCCTCCAGCTCCTTGGTCTTCACCTCATCCTCCTGCATCTGCTTCTTCATGGCCTCTTCCTCCTCGGAGGCAGAGGCTGGGGCCCCCTCCAGGAGCCATCTCTCCCGCAGAGCCTTGGACTGGGGAGCAGAAGGGGGTCACGGTCCTGCCCCCCCAGCCGGGGGCATCCCGGTGCAGAGGCAGCCTGGGGGTCCCGGGGGATTCTCACCTTGAGATGCTGCAGCTGCCGCCGGTCGTCCTCGAGCTGCCGCCTTTTGTTCTCGATCTCCGTCTGACGCTTCCGCTTCTCCTGCAGGGACGGGAGCGGAGCCGGGGTCGGCGCGGGGAGGGGGTGGGCGCCGAGCATCGCCGGGTAGGGAGGAGTGGGGGCGAGGGGCTGCACTTGGGGAGAGGGGCTGCGAGACCAGGCTTGGGGACAGCCCACAAGGAGCCCAGTATCACATCCCTGCCCTCTCTGGGAGAAACTGAGGCACGGGGGCTGTAGAGAAGTCATGGCAAAGCCTGGGCTCTGTTCACCATCTCAAAATGTCACCTTCCCCTCGGCTGGCCCCGCTGAGTGAGCTGCCAGCGTGGGGGAAACAGCCCCCGGGGCCTCCACCTCGCCCCTCCCGCCACCCATCCTGGGGCTGCTCCAGATCATTTCAGCAGAGTCAGACCCAGCCCGGACGCGTCACCCGGAGCTTTCTCCTCTGGTCCAGAACAATTTGCCCTTTGTGTGGCAGAGATCAGCCAGCCGGGCAGGGCAGGGGGGCTGCCATGGGGCAGCGGTGGGTTCGACCTGCTCTGTGCTGGGAGGGGCTGCCCCGTGTGGCCCCCGACTGCTCACTAATTAATGTAATTACTAGTGCCCATGGCGGGCATGGCTGGATTGCACCATCCTCAGCCTTTCCTGGGAAAGGGTGTGCGGGGGAATCATCACTCGTTTCCCTCACTCGGGGCTCATCAAGGCACTGTTTTATTAATTAAACCTCCCAGCTGCCTGTTGCTCTGTCCCTGTTTCAGCCACGCAGCCAAGCCAAGGCGGCTCCGGCACCCTGGGAAGAGCCACTGCAGGGACGTGCTGGCACGGGCCACCACGAGACCTCTTTGGCTGCTGGGGACTCCCGGCCTGCAGCTGAGCACCTGCCCCAGCTCACCTGCTCCAGCTCACCTGCCCCTGCACCCTCCTCCCCACTGGTGTCTGCCCCATGTGCTGCACGGGGCAGGGGTGTGGGGACGCTGGGCCGAGGTCCAGCCCGAGCAGGGACTCACCGCGATGGCCTGCAGCCTCTCCTGCTGAAGGGTGCTGGCCTCCACGACCCTGCAGAGAGCAGAGAGCAGCGGTGAGGAGTGGCACCAGCAGCAGGTGTCAGGCACACTGTGCAACCAGCAAACCGGACACTGCAGCACACGGGCAAAGGCTGAACCCTTCCTTTCCAGCGGCTCTTTCCTCCTTGCCACCCTGGAGCCAAGCATCCCTTGCCTGCACAGCTCCTCCAGACACCCCTCAGCCCCCCATCCTACCCAAATTGCCCTGGGACAGGCACCTCACCCAGCACCTGGGTGACTCAGCACAGCCAGACCCACTCCTGCTGTGGCACAGATGGAAACCATGACCACAGAGGGGCTGGAGCAGGACGGAGCAGCCTTCCAACCTGGCTCACACTTTCCATTCCAAGCCCTTTTCTTGGCAGCTGACACCTTTCCCAGACAGTGACCTTTCTGGGCTGCGTACGAAGGCACACGCACGCCCACGTGCACAGACACATGGACACACACAGACACACACATGGCAACAGGCTCTGCTCCCGCTGGTGTCCGTGTTCCGGGCCCGGTACCTGCCTCTGCAGCCGGGGCTGCCACGGCCGTGCCAGGGATGCTGCCCAGCAGCAGCCGCCTCGCTGGCCTCGGGGTGCTGCAAGGAGGGGCTATCCCTGACCCCTGTGGTCACCTGCCCACACACCCACCCTCCTGTGTCCCCGTGGTGTGGTGCCCCAGGCCAGCGCAGCCCCCGGGGCCCAGCAAGAGCCCCCGGGGCCCAGCGAGAGCCCCCGCACCCCAGAGCACCGGGGGCAGGTCCAGTACCAGGACCCACGGCAGGGCTGGGGCAGCTGGTGGGGCTGGCTGGGCCCAGGATGCTCCAGCGCCACAGGAGCTGCTGGCTGCTGGCCAGGCAGTGCTAACGAGGTGCTCAGCTGTGGCAGTAATTAGGGTGGGAGGCACAGAGGTATTGTCGGGCGATGGATCATCTCCACTTGGTTCCTAAAGCAAGGGACAGAGAGCAGGACTCTGCACTCCCGGGAAGGGCTTTTTCCAAAGCTGGTTTTACACACAGGGTGGGCTCGGGGTGCTGTGCCCCACACACGACACCTCCCGGGCCTGGGCTCTGACCGCACGTGCCAGCACGTGTGCTCTGGCACATGTATGTGCCCTCACGTGGGTCCTCTACCGGAGGAGCTGGGCTTTGCCACAACTCAAATGGGGTCTGTGGGGTGAGAGGAGCCCCTGCCTCCTCCTGCCCCCTCCTCGAAGCCAGTGATTTACTGGGAGCTGCTCAGAGCCGCCGTCCTCCCCTCACCCCGCACCCTGGGGATCCAGCAGTGCGCAAAATCCAGACCAGGAAAACAAACAGGGAAGGTGTCGCTTCTGTGGTGGTTGTTTTCATGCTGTTTGCAGCGATGCTGTGACTGTTTCCCCAGCGCAGGCACACGGCACCCCTCACACATCCACGTCCCGCACCAGCCCCACAGGTCTGGGGCTGCCCTTCATCCTGGGCTCCCTCCTGCTCTGGTCCCCCAAGTCCAGTCCCTGGCACTTCACACTCGCAGGGTGTTGGACCAGGTCCTGTTTCTCTCCTGGATCTTGCCCTGTTCAATGTATCCAAACTTTTACAGCATTTCTGAAACGTTCTGTTCTGCTTTTCCTCCCTCCTCCATTCTATTTATTTTCCATTATTTGCTACAGTCTCTGCATTCCCGGGTTGAACGCCAGGAATCTTCCTGGCCCAGGAAGAGATGCAAAATGGGCTGGATGCCCCTCACTGCACCCTCCCAGCCCCCCCGGCTCCTGGCCTGGGGACTCTGATCCGTCGTGGAGGGCTGGGCGAGAACCACCTCAGCAGCCACAGTCCTTGCCTGCTGGGACCAGGCAACGAGGTGGAGGCGGAGGGTCCCCCACTCCCCAACAGCCCCATCCTGTCACGACCTGTCTCCGGGGGTCAGCAGGGGCTGGTGTGAGGGGGCCCCGCTGCCGCCGGCCCTGGTGACTGATGGAGGCGGTTCCCTGGCAATGGTTGTCTGGCAACAGCACCATGGTAACGGTGCCATGGCAACGGGCGAGCGGTGGGGGGGATGCACAGGGCGGGCGGAGGGATGGAGAGGCCCCCCGGGGTTGGGGGTGCCGCTCCCCGGGCCTGGCACTCCGGCAGCACCGGGGGGCCAAAACCGTGGCACCACTGGGGTCTCCCTGGGGGTTCTGATGCTCCAGATCCATCCGGAGGGGTGGAAAGGTGGGGCCACCGCACCCCTTACCCTCACCCTCTGAACCACCAGGCCAGGCAGGGAGCAGGGACATGGGAGATGATGCCCTGGGAGCTCCCAGCCCCAGCCCCCGGGCCTTTGGCTGGGCCCACACACGTGTGTGAGCACACACACACCCGCGCTCTCCCTTGGCTCCCCAGCTCTTTCCAGCCCTGCTGATGCTGCCATTTCCCACCATCACAAGGGAAGCCCGTGACCTTTTGTCTCCTCCCGCCTGACATGAAACAATAATGTTTATTTGCCTTCCTCTGTTTTTTTCCCATTAGCTCATCCAAATGTGCGAAGAGCCATTTCAAGCTGCTTCTCCGCTCCCCTGACCTCCACTCCCTTCCCACCCGCTCAGCTCCGAGCTGGGGGAAGGCAGGAGAGAGTCCTGCACGGGCACCACTGCCTGGACCCCCATAGCGGCCCTGGGGAGGGGGGGGTGCAGGCTCCAGAGCCCGTGGCAATGGCAACAATCGAGGGCCCAGCACTGATTTATAGCACTGTTCCCATGCCAGGAGCTGGGCCCCTTGGCCAGGCCCGGAGTGACGTGGCCGTGGGGAGGCTGCAAAGCTCCGTCACGAAGCCATTTAGCAACAGGCCGTGATCGAACGGCCCTGATGGGAGGCACAGAGGGGAGGGGAGGGGAGGGGTCTGCAGTCACCCCAGGGCCACCACGCACTGACCACGAGGGCAGACACAGCAGTGGCAGCGGCTCGGGAGAGGGATGGCCAGAAATCTGTGCAGCTGAGGAGCCGCGTGCCCAGCTCGGGGTCAGAACCCTGCTCAGATCCTGGTGCCCAGGGGCTGCTCCTGCCCTGCCCCACGCTGTGGCTGCCTCCCCCCACTGCTGCTGCTGCTGCTGCATCGCCCCATCACCCATCCCATTCCTTCCCGTGGTGAGCGGTGCCTTCCTCACGCTCCCACTGCTGGCACAGCCCAGCCACAGCCCCGGCACGGCCCCAGCACAGCCCCAGCACAGCCCCAGCACAGCCCCAGCCATCGCCACTGCCCGGGGAGGGGATGGGGACGGGGGGGAGGCGGGGGGAGGAGATGGCAGCCCCAGGCTCCCGAAAACGCAGATGCATTAGAGCAAGTGGAGCTGCCTGATTGATTCTCCGGGCTGAGACGTGGGCTGGGAGTGCCAGGAGAAAATGGATCCCATGAATATTTGATGAACGGAGGCTTGGGGAGGGAGTTTGATTGGAAAATTACAGATCTTTCAAACAGTGGTTCGAGTACCCTCCAAATACTTGGGTTTCCAGCTCCCTTCCAGTTAGAGGAGCAAAGCTCCACCAGCAAACTCCCACCACGATTTATGAATGAGAGTGGAGCCGGCTTCTCCCCACCCCCGGGAGCACGGGCCAGCTGGGATGGGCAGCCCCAGTGCTGGCCGGGACACGGTGCCTGGCTCCTGCCACCAGCCAGCCCTGGGTTCCCGTTCACACAGGGCAGCACAGCTTTCCCACAGCAATGCCATGGACACAGGCACACACGAGGCTCCAAAGAGCTGCCAGGAACGTGGATCCTGGCAGGGGCACCCCTGTGAGTCCCAGCACCTGGGGGGAGCTCAGTTCTTGGTGCCGAGCCCAGGGCCTGGGCTTAACCCATGCCCAGCTCTGCTCCACCAGGAAACACCTGTCTGGGGCAGGATCCATCTGGCTCCTCTCCCTCCTCCAGGCTCATCCTTGTCCCTGACAGTGGCTCCTGCCTGGGGCCAGAGGGCTCCTTGTCTCCAGATAAAGAGACTCAGGAATCTGGGCTGTGCCTCCAGCACCAATCCTGGCACCACCTCCCAACCCGGCTCCAGCACCTCCCGAGGTTTCCTCTGGCACCTCCAGTGCTGGAGCCCCAGCACAGCTCCCAGCACAGCTCTGGACACATGAACTACCACCCTGCCTGGGGAGAGGGGCTGTTTCTGGCCAGGAAGCACAAACACCAACACTGGCTTCCCAGGAAACCTGGGAAGCTCTGGTTCCTCCCAGGAGCGCAGGTCCAGCCAAGAGCTGAGGTCTCACAGCAGTGGCTGAATCCTGAACCCCGTGATCTGCCAGCCCCGAGCAGGGCCGGGTGCCATTGTGGGGCCTTCTGTGGCAGAGCTTTATGGCCTCCTCTGGGAGAGCTGGGAAGGGTGACAGTGCCGTCCCCTCAGCTACACACAGGGACAGGATGGACCTGACCCCTTCTGGGTCCTTGCACCCGGCTAGGAGGCAGCAGGACCCAGCCTGGGTTTCACTTCTCCCTGGATTCCAGCAGAGAGCAGGGTCCTGAGTCCCTTCCCAAAGGGCTCATGGGTTATTCCTCAGGCAGAAATCTCCCTCCTTCCCCTGGGTGCAACTGTCAGCTTCCGATCAGGGTTGTGAGGGCAGGACCAGGAGAGCCCTTGCTCCAAGGACACCCCCTGAGCCAAGGGGAGAGCGGCAACCCAGTGAGACAAACCAGCAGAGCAGCCAGATGTGAGATGCAGGATCTCCAGATGCTCAAGAGCACTGATGGCAGCGGGAGCAGAGGAGGACAAACAGCTCCAGTGGGACCAGCACAGCCTTTACCAGAGTTGGAAGGTTTCAGCCAAACCTCCCTGGGCACCAGTGGCTTGTGGCAGCCAGGACCCTCTTCCAGCCTGTGCCGCTGCCAAGGCGAAGCAGGAGCCAAGGCAAAGGCAGCAGTGCCTGCCCCAGCCCCCGTTGGCTGCTACAGAGCCAGGCCCACAGCAGGGCATCACCTCGCCATGTCCCCGCCTGCCCTGGGGCTTTCCCAAACCTCCAGCCCCACCACCAGGCTCTGGAGCTGAGCGGCTGCAGGGGCTGCACCGTTTTGCTTTGGGGCTGTGCCCCCCACCCCAGGTCGCTTGAGGAGATTCACTCCAAAGAAAGACATTGACAGGTCCAGCACATGGAGCTGGTGGGGGAAAGGCCTCGCACTCCTCCACAGATTCCTCAGCCCTTGCTGGGAGGGTCGGTCCAGAGCAGGGTGAAGGGCACCATGTGGAGCCCAGGGACAGGAGCCATCATCCTGCCCAGTGCCATCCCCCCCTTCAACCCCAGCCTTTGACGCCTCCGCTCCCGGAGAGCCCGTGCCTGGTCTGGCAGCTCCTCACCCTCTCCCCAGGGCACTCACACCCCTCGGCTTTGCCCTTCCCTCAGTGCTGCCTTTTGGCAAATCACGCACACGTTTTCCTCCCTAAAAAGGCTCTTTCCTGCAGGGACCGAGGCACTGTGGGGCTGCCCAAAGCTGTGACCCTGCCTTAGCCAGCCCTCTGTCCCCTCCAGCAGCACGGGGAGCTTCTCTGCCTCCCCAGTCCCGCAGCCACTGTGCCCCAGTCTCCAAAACATTCTCAGACCTCCACTGGTTCCTCCCGCTCAGTTCCAACCCCAAGCCAACCAGAGCCCACCCCGAGCCCAGGACACCCCTCACCCTGCCCTTCCCCAGTGCCCCACGGCCTCTCAGGGCTCCCTGGTGGGAGGCAGGTGGTGGTGAGCAGGACCTGTTGAGCACCTGGTGTCCCGGTAGCCAGTGGTAAAAACAGATCAGTGTGAGGTGAGGTGCCCGTGAGGAGTGGAGGGTGGCTGACCCTGAGCCGGCTGGGTGCCCCAGGAACCCCCAGTGCCAAACCCAGAAGGTGCCGGGGACCCCCGGTTCTCCATGGTGGGGACCAGAGCCACGGGAGGCAAGGAAAGGCCCGGATGAGACAGGGCCAGCGCTGGCACTTGGCACCTCGAGCAGCTGCCCAGTCCCATGTGCTCCTGGCACCAGCTGCTGGCATCCCTGAGGAGCAAAACCAGCATGCAGGCAGGACAGTCCCCAGGCACCGGCTCCCAATGGCTTCCGCCTGCTCCGTCCTTCCCCCGCCCGCCCGGGCAGGGCCCCACCACGGCACACAAAGGATGAGGCCGGGTCAGAGACTGTCCATCTGTCCGGACCCCTCCGGTGGGAGCCGATACATGAGGATGCCCTGGCCACGGCCGGGTCCCTGGGCAGGGGCTGGGGGCACAGTGCAGGGAGGGGTCCGCAGCTCCTGCCACCCACTCACCCCACCACACACAGCGGCAACAACAGGTTCAAAACACAAAAATAAACGCCCGCCCCACCCCCTGCTTCCCTCACCGCTGGCAGCCCAGACACCCCCCGCACCTCCTGCACCCCCCGCGCCCGCATCGAGGCCTCCGCTGTTTCCCCCCCACCCCGAGCCAGCGCCCCAGCACCCCACGGCGGGGCAGGGACCCGGGGAGGGGCCGCACCTGCTGAGTGGCACTGGGGGGAAAGGCGGCCCCGGTATCGGGGTCCCGAGCCCCAGCACTGAGGGGGTGTGAGCCCCCGGTATTGGGGTTCTGAGCCCCAGCACCCGAGGGGATGTGAGGCCCCAATTTTGGGGTCACGAGCCCTGGCATCGGGGGGATGCGAGCCCCCCCCTCCGGTTTTGGGGTCCCAAGCCTCAGCATAGGGGGAATACGAGCCTCTGGTATTGGGATCCTGAGACCTCAGGATCAGGGGGATGCGAGCCTCCAGTTTTGGGGTGCTGAGTCCCCAGGACCGGGGGATATGAGACGCCAGGTTCGGATTCCCCAGCCTCGGCATCGGGGGTGTTCGAGCCGCCGGTACGAGCTCTTTGAGCCGACGGTGTGCGCTTCCCGCAGCTCCGGTCCCGGGGTCCCGAGCCCCGCTCCCCGGCCGCCGCTCCCCCCTCCCCGGTACTGCGGTGCTCGGCCGGCGGGGCCCGGGGGGGCCCTGGCCCGGTGCCGCGGTCCCGGCGCGGCCCCGGTACTCACTCCATGGTCCCGGTGACAGCTCCGGCGAGGGCGGGGGGCGGCGGAGCGAGGCCGGCGTCCGCCGGCGTCCCGGCGCTCAGGGCCCGGCGGGCGGCGGCATCCCCGGCGGGGCTGCGGGATGCGCAGGGATGTCGGGACCGCGCCGGTGCTCCCGCCTCCCTCCCGCACAGCTCCGTCTGCCGGGCGCGCCCCGCCACTGCCGCCGCCCATCAGCCGGCCTGGGGGCGCGCCGGCACCGCCGGGGCTGGGGCTGCTGCTGAGGGTCCCGAGGCGAGTCCCGACTGTGCAATGCCCGGCGCGGGACGGGTCGGAGGAGTTGCGTTCGCAGCGTCTCCATGAACGCAGCCCCTGTGAATGTTCAACCCCCTCCTGTGAAAGCAGCCCCTCGATCCTGCCCCACCCCAGGCACCCCAGGAGCCTCTTTGCTCCCCCCTTTCTGCTCCCCCGTTTCCCAACCCAACGGCCGCCACGGGCAAACTGCCACAGGAAGCGCCGAGGCACCCTCCGTTGGGAAATCTGCCCACTGCTGGGGGAGAGCTTTGCGCCTGGCCCTGGAGCAAACCTGGCTCTGCAGCGAGTGTCAGCATGCACCCCCAGCCCGGTATCTCACATCCCCTGCACCCCTTTCTGCACTCCAAGTCAACGTAGAACAGGGGGAAGAAACTGCCCCTCTGCCCACAACATCATCCCAGAGCCAGCAGGGCTCTGGAGAAGCCAAAAGAGGCATTGGGTGGGAGCACAGCGCAGTTCCTGTGTGACCCACAGCAGCCCCAGGGATGCTGCCATGTCCTGGGAGGTGTCCTGGGGTCCTGCTGCTCCCACCTCCCTGCCAAGAGAGAGGTTTCATCCCAATTAACTCAAGGCACAAGAGGAGCCAGGACTGGGAAGCTGCTCTGCTCTCCTTCTCCCACTCTGGGGGAAGCTGCATGGCAGTGCCAGGGCCCCCCACCCCCCGAATTGCACAAAGCAGTAACACCCAGAGAGAGGAAGCAGGAGGGAGATACCCGCTGGCACCCCGAGGCTCAGCCCCCGGAGGGATTTAAGCACCCCCAGCCCGAGCAGCCCCAGCAGTGGTGACAGTGCCTGCTCTGCACTGCCATGGTCATGACTGGGCTCTTCATCCTCAGCCTGGGGGGCTCCATCCTGCTCCCAGCATTGGCCCCAGCAGGTAATGGGAGAGCTGGGGCCATGGTACAGGTCCCCAGGGTGGGAGATGGAGACCCTGTGGCATGGAGGAGGCCAATGATCACCTGCACCCACCAGGCACCCAGGGGAGCCGGATCGTCGGGGGAAAGGCAGCAGTGCCCCACTCCCGGCCCTTCATCGCCTCCATCCAGATGGACGGGGAGCACGTCTGCGGGGGCTTTCTGGTGTGGCCCAAGTGGGTGATGACAGCTGCCCACTGCCTCGTTCCCAGGTGAGCCTTGTCCCCCCTGAACGTCGTGTGACCCTTTCTAACTGATACCCCTCTCCCAGGGGGTTACACAGTCCTGGGGCTGTCCCCTCCCACCTGCGCTCCCCCTCCCGCCCCCCTGGCCCCCCCCCCCCCCCCGATCCCCCCCAGCCTCGGCAGCACCTGCTCAGCCCCCCCCCCCCCGGCTGCAGGAGCAGCCCCTCGGTGCGTGTGGTGCTGGGCGCCCACCGGCTGGAGGAGCCCGAGGCGTCCCAGCAGGTCTTCAGCGTGGTCGAGTCCATCGCCCACCCGCGCTACAACCCCCGCGCCGTGGACAACGACATCCGCCTGCTCCGGGTGAGTCTGGCGTGCCACTGTCCCTGCTCCGGGTGAGTCTGGCGTGCCACTGTCCCGCCACCGAGCACCCCGCGGCCAGGCAGGGCGGTGCCCCATGGCCCGGGACACGGGAGGGAGGTGGGGTGCCCCAGGCGGGGCCGAGCCGACACTAGATGTCAGTGCTTCTCCGGAGAAGGCAGACCGTGCCGTGGGCGCGATGGAGGCACCAAGGACACTCCGACTCTGTCCGGGTCAGTGACTCCCAAGCAGCCAGTCTCTAGAGCAGACTGGGACCAGTGCAGAAGGACTGGCGGGGGGGCCCAGCCTCTGAAGAGGGGAGGGCTGGGCTGGGGGGGATCAGCAGGATGGGTCAGCTGGGACGGGCAGGCTATGGGGTGGAGAGGGTCTCAGGCAGGAATATCTGGAGGGCTCTGCCCAGCAGCAAAGCCGTCCTTGCCCCGTCCACCCCCCCAGCTGAACAGGGCGGCCACACTGAACGAGTACGTGAAGCGGATCCGCCTCCCTTCGCCACACGTCGACCTGAAGCCCGGCACCGTCTGCTGCGTGGTGGGCTGGGGGGACACCTCCAACTATGGCAACCAGCCCGCTGAGCTGATGGAGACCAACACCACCATCGTCAAGCGGAGCCTTTGCCGGACGCTGTGGAGGGGCAAGGTCTCGGCCAACATGCTGTGTGGGGCCAGCCGCAACGCCACCCTGCAGGGCGTCTGCACCGTGAGTGCACCCCGGCCCCGGGCCCCACTACCCCCGCTGGGAGACCCACCAGTCTCCCTCCAACCTCCTCATTTTGCAGGGTGACTCCGGGGGACCCCTGATCTTCAAGGAGAAGGTTTACGGCATCGTCTCGTTCTCTGGGAAGAGATGTGGGGACCGCCGGTTCCCCGACGTCTACACCAAGATCTCCAACTACATTGACTGGGTGCATCGCACTGTGCGAGGGCCCCGCCAGCAGAAGGGGAGGCCGAAGCCCTGACATGGCTGGGAGGGGGCCCTGGGGGTGGGCTGTGGGGAGAGGGGCTCCGATATCTCCCAGGAGGGGAGAAAAGGGCCAGAACTCCCACATCCTTCAGCTCTGGTGGGGGCTGGGAGCTGATGCTCAGGGCTCCTTGACCCAGGACTCTGCCTGTTGGTGAGGGGTGTCACATCCCCCCCAGGCTGTAGCAGAAGCCCCAGCACCTCGTGCAGCCTCTTGCGGCAGCAACATTTTCCTTCTTCAATAAACCCTCGGTCCCCATCCTACTGCTTCCCTCTGTGCTCTGGTCCCCCCGACTTGTCCTGGGTGTGGGCAGATGGAGCAGGGGGTGCAGGAGGAAGGAGGGGATTGTGGCCCCCACTCAGGACCAGGCCCTGCCCCAGAGGAGCCAGGATCTGCAGCCAGGTGCTGCCACCCCAGCTGCCTTCCCGCCAGGGGTGGGGCCCCCCATCCCATCCCGTCCCATCCCGTCCCATCCCGTCCCATCCCATCTCATCCCATCCTGCCTCATCTTGTTCCGTCCCGTCCCACACCACACCCTTCCCGCTGCTCTACGGGACCCCCCAAACAGGGGAACCACAGACACCCCCCAGGGTCAGGCGGGCTCCCAGCTGCGCTGGCAGAGCCCACAGGGATCCGTCGGGAGCCTCACCCACCTCCCCACCCACAGACGGGGCTCACCCTGTGGCAGCCGGGTGCCCACAGTGGCCAGGGGACATGTGCTGAGCTGCTGCTGGGTCTCAGCTGAGACACGTGTGGCTCTGCCCGGCGTCGCGGCCGTCTCGGAGAACAGACTCAGACATTCCCCGCTTCTGGCTGTTTGTTTTATCTGCAAATTGCTGGCACCCTGTGGCTGCTGCGGGGCCTTGCGCGGGGTCAGGGGACACAAGCCACAGTCATCAGTGGCCCTGGGGACACCCAGTAGGGGACAGACCCCTGCCAGGCTGCCGGCATCCAAGGAAGCCCCAAATCCCATGGGGGTGCTGGCAGAGGCAGCGTGGGGCAGAGATCCCCTGGAATGCCGGGACAGGGCTGCCAGCCCCGGGGCTTCCGCGCACTGCCAGGGAGCCCGGAGAGCCGGCGCCTGTCCCAGCTTGTCCCAGACCACCCAAAAGCCGGTGGGAAGGCGGCTCCTGACTCACAGCCATGTTTTGGAGGCTGAAATCTCCCGCTCATCACAGGAGCTGCTGTTGCTGCCGCAGCCCGTGCCCGCGGGCTCGGCACGGGGCCACGCACCAGCCGCTCCCGGGGCCAAACCCTGCGGCGGGGCGGGCGGGACGGGGAGATGGCACGGGCAGGAAGCGCTGCGGGCAGCCCCTGGAGGAACCCAGGCCACACACCACCGTGTGCAGCAGCGCTGGCACCCAGCAGGGCATGGGCAGCGTTTTGAGAACTCCCGTACACCCATCCCCAAGAGCGGGGGGACATCGCTGAGCTGGGCAGGCAGGGAGGGGCTGCAGGAGAAAGTCCCGTGACCGTCCTGGGTTATCTGAGCGGTCTTTTCCAACCTAAATGATTCTGTGATTCTCTGCAATGCGCTCCTGGGCTGGGCACGGTTCTGAGGGCTGGGCGGGGGGTTGGGGGGCTGTGCCGTGCTGGCCCCCAGTACAGGGGATGCAGCTGAGGGAGATCCAGCGGCAGTTCCTGTGGAGCTCAGCACGTCAAACCACAGGCTGCCGCCCGGGAACCATCCCACATCGGGACCCAATTACCGGCAGGAATTGTTTTGTGAAATACCAGACCCTCATGGCACAGCCCGAGATTGGGAACAGATTTATCTCGCTCTTCCCTGCTCTCCCCTTCCCTCCCGCTGCGCTGAGCAGCCTTGGCCGGGCCGGAACACCCGAGCGCCAAGCGGAGCAGATGGGATGCGGCTCCTCACCGCTGCTGGGGGCTCCCCACATCCCAGACCCCGGCACAGGGGCACAGCCCCCGGGACAACAACACCTCCTGCGGCCCCAGAGCCTGCCCGACAAAACCAGACCCGCAGCACCGTTTAATCTGGTTTATAATTATAATCCAACATAATCTAACGCAGCCATAAAATGCCCCAACAATACAGAATAGGGAATGTGGGTGTTCCCAAAGCATCTGCCTTGAGGGTCAGAATCCAATCATACAAAAATAGAAGATAAGGTATTTTTACATATAATATATATATAAAAATGATATTTATATAAAGTCAAGAGCTTTTTGGTGTCAGAGCTGAGCTGGTATTTACACAGGTGACAACAGAAGAAATGAGAGAAGGAATAAAAATAAATACAGGTGTGGGCAGAGCAGGGGGTACGGGGCCCCAGAGCTGCAGTGTGGGGGTCCTTGGGGGGGGTGGGCAGGGCCATCTCTCCCTGCAGCCCGGGCTCCATCTGAAGCTGTTCTGGCAGGGAGGGATGAGGAGGGCTAGGGGCAGCTGCCCTGGGTGATGGGCTCTGGGTGGGGGCTCAGTGGGCCAGGGAGAATGGTCATGCCCCCCAGATAGGGCTGCCACTGCACCAACTCTCTGGGCACCGGCATCCCCTCCGAAGACGGTGGGAGCCTGGTCTGAATGGGCCTGGGAAGACCTAAACTGAAATCCATTTGAACACACACATGCTGAAAGTTTAGGAGACAATAACATACATATATTTTTTTTTAATATATATAAAAATATATATCTATCTCTCTCCAATCTGATGCAGCCTGCACTGCCTTTCCTGCTGCTGGCAGCTGGGGCTGAGCCCCTCAGGGAAGGCAAAAGCACAGATTCCCTCTAGACCTCGAGGTCCCAGCCAGAAACGTCAGCAGAGTACTGAGAATTAATCCAAAAATAAATAGGCCCAGGGCTGCCGGCCAAGGACACGTAAGGGGGGCCCACGGACACCCCTCCACACCACGCCAGCAGCAAGGAAGGGCACTGGCCAGCGGAGAGCTCTGCCGGGCACTGGGTGGGCACTGGAGCATCCCAGGGCAGCTCAGCATCTCTCTGGCCGTGAGCCCCCACCCCTCCTCCCCGGCTGGCAGGATGGGAACTGAGCCCCCTGCGACTGCATAACATACACGGGGATAAATAAGGATCTTTTTATCTTAATAAATATCAGGTATATGGTTTGTACAATATACACATAATGCCCCTGTCTCCCGGCTCCGGCTCGGCCCAGGGAGGATTCACACGTAGTTCTCTTCCGCGCTGTCCGTCTCTGCGGAGAATTTGGCCGCGGCTGAAAACAGAGAGAAGCGGTGAGGGGGGTGTGAGGGGTGACCGGGCTCTGGGGGTCTGTACCTGCTGCCGCCATCCCGCCCCGCTCACCTGAGCAGCTCCCGTAGTGGCGCACGCCGATGGAGCGGCCGCGGTGGCAGGTTGCCCGGCGCAGGTGGCACGCCGAGGGGTAGGTGACGTTGTTGTTGCCGCAGAGGGCGTGGTCCAGGCTGGTGGGCTCGGGGCAGGGAGCCGTCCGGCACATCACGCAGTGGGCGCTGCCCGTCTGGTCCACCACGCAGGTGTGGGTGCCGGGGCACACCACGCTGGAGCAGGACTCTGCAGGGAAGCACGGGGCTGGGGTGACCGGGGCGAGACCACCCCCTCCCGCGGCTCCTCCAGCTCAGGTGGGCAGTGGACATCGTCCCAAGGAAACCCGGTCGCCTCCCGACTCTTGCTACTGGGGCACAGAGAGGAGCCAAGGGCTGAATGGTCCCAACCTCTCCCATCGATGATGCTCCCAAGGGCAGGGGCTGGCAGGGCTTGACCTCCTGAGCGTGAGGGAGCACGTGGCCCCAGGCCCTCGGGCTCAGCCCCAGCCGGGGAGGAGCTGAGGTGCAGCTGCAGTGGTGGAGCGAGCGGGGCTGAGCCCGTTTGGCGCGGGGGGGACCCGGCCGGGCCAGCGGCCGCACGCAGGTGCCTTGGCAGGGAAGCAGCAGCTGCTGCAGCCAGGCTGGCAGCCGGCAAGAGGGAAGGGCAGGGTCACCCTGGCCCCGACCCAGCGCTGGAGCGAGGGTGCATGGGCGTGGAGGGAGCCTGCACAGCGGGATCGGGCCCTGCAAAGGGCTCTGCCGGGGGGTGGTGGCGCAGGGGGCTCCTGCACCCCCATCATCCCTCCACCTTCCTCTCTTTCTTTCCCTGCTGGATTGGAAGATTTGGCATCTGCAGCTCCCAAACTCCCGTTTCTTGCCCCATATTTCCCTGCTCAGCCCAGAGCTTGACAGACAAAGCCTTCCAGAGAGGAGGGCTGGAAAAATAACCATAATCCTTCTGACAAGCTCTTGGCAGAGCCAGGAGGATCACTGCGCCCTTTACAAAAGAGGAAAAAAAGGGGCTTGACGTTTGTAAATGACATTTTAGGGACTGTTACTGCTCAGTCCGAAGTGAGGCCAAACCCCAGCGCACCAACAGGCCTCAATGTCCCCTTAATGGGCACCAAGACCCGTGTCCTGCAGGCGAGACCCTGCACTGGGATGGACCTTCCCTCCCTGGACCACAGGGGATGGGGATAGGACAGGGGCAGAATAGGAATGGGACCCAATGGGGTGGGGGCTCAGCTGCACCTACTTTTACATTTGCCCTGGTACATCACTTCGAGGTCGGGGTGGTCTCTGCACTTGGCCGTCAGCAGGTCGCACTCGTCCCGGTAGGTGTAGCCATCAGAACCGCAGACCTGCAGCTTGCGGGGCAGGCTGGAGCAGTCTGGGGCACAGGCACACTGGGGACGCCCGTGTTTCATCTTGCAGACCTTGTCGGGGCCGCACACCACCCCCTCACAGCTCTCTGGGGACGCAGAGCAGCAGCACGTGAGGACACAGCACTGGCTGCCCCCCGCCAGGGAAGGGCCCGTCCTGCCCAGCCCCTGTGGGACACCGAGTGGGACGGGGCCAGCACTGGCCCTCACAGAGTAGGACCGGGCCAGCATTGGCCCTCACAGTCCCGAATGCCCCCCGGGCCACAGCACACGTGCTGACACTGAGCTGCCCCGGCAGCATCTGGATCTGCTCAGCCCCGCCAAGGAGCAGGTCGTTGGCTGTGGCTCTGC